CTTTTTTTTTTTTTTTCCTTTTTTTTTTTTTTTTTTTTTTTTTTTTTTTTTTTTTTTTTTTTTCCCCCCAAACCCCCGGGGGGCGGCTCCCCCCCCCCCCCCCCCCCCCCCGGAGGCTACGGCCCTGTGTATATCCCAGGCCCAGAGGGACTAATTTAATTAGTTCTAGTGTTGGGTATACTCTACATATAATATTATTCTCTCTCTATCCCAGGCCCAGAGCAACTACTTTAACTGAGTTCTAGTGTTGGGTATACACTACTAGTAGATATAATATTATGTTCTCTCTCTCCCAGGCACAAAGGGACTACTTTGGCGCACACACCTACCAGCTGTTGTCCACTCCGGGGAAATACGTCCACACAAACTGGACTGGTCATGGTGGAAATGTCTCCTCTACCACTTATCAAGCATAGGGGGCAGCACAGGTTCAACACATATAGGACTGGATGTATAGCAACAGCTTCTCTTCTGCTACTAAGAAAGCATAGAGGGCAGCACTTGCCAAGATGGACTGGACATGGTAGAAATGTTTGTGCTATCATTTACCAAGCATAGAAGACAGCATATATACAAAAATAGTTCTGGAAAGACATGTTACTGCAACTTTTCTACTACAACTCACAAAGCATGCGCAACACTTTTGTCAAGTGAACTAAACCCAAAACAGAGATGAAGACTGGTTATTTTTTAAAATTCTATTTTATTTCTTCATTATTATTATTATTATTATTTTATTTTATTTTATTTCATTTTATTGTTTTTGTAATAATGAAATTTGAAATTTAGACCTCAAAAATGGATTTTGAAATAGTTATTTTGTCAGCTGTTTTAGGTAGGAGATACCTTTAGAATTTGCAGGAAAATTATTTTTACTGTACAGTATAAAAGTTTTTAATATGTTTATTTCTATTTAAAATACCCACATGTAAAAGACAGCAGATGCAACCAAAGGTAGAAAGTAAAAAAAAAATAATAATAATAACAGGTATACTGTTTCGTTGCATGTACTACCAGTACTGAGAGTAAAATGGCTGCACTGATATCACAGACAGTGTTTGCTCTGCGATCAAATTCTTTCACGAAAATGTTTAATAACTAAAGCTTACATTATCAGAAATTTGAACAAAAAATGTTTATGGTTTACAATTTAGAATATATGTTTAGTGTCTGGTTGATTTTTTTTAGAATTAATGAACACTGCCAGAGAGAAGAAACTTTTGAGTAATTTATAACATGTTCAGTCACAGGAAACAAAGACATGTACATGTATATTTAGGTGTAATGTTCTTACCGATGTTATGTTGTCTATTGATTATCTGGAATAATGTCTGAGATGAGAAATAAAAAAATCAGTATTGATAAATTGACTGTTGATTGAAATAAGCAAATGTTTCCACAAAAGCCAAAGTCCTCAATTATGACTGAAAATTAGTGCTCTGTAACAGTCTTATACTACAGTAAAGTGTGTAACACATTTGAATTTTATGTGTATCTGAAGATTATAAAATAACACTGACATTTACTTGCGGTTGGTGTTGTTATTTTCACTGTTCACATGAAGGTTATACATGTGACTTGTCATAAGTTGTCAGAGGTTCAATGGGTAAATTCATTATGATAATAATAATAATGGTTTATTTTTTATGTAAAAATGTAGAATCCACACAATATTTAGTACACTCCACATAGTAACAGACTAAGAAATCAAACTCCATTAATCTGTAGTAAATTGAACCCTCTACCAGGGCCACTGATTGATTTTTACAAGGGATATGTCTCTGGTTAAATAGATGGCTAATCTCAGCAAATATGTCTACAATAATAACTGTGGCCCTGGTAGAGGATAAGTAAATTGCACCTGTAGTTAAAACTTGCGTTTTGAAGAAATAGAATTATAGAATGGTAGTCTGTATATTATTATATTAAAATATATTGCCTTTAACTTTTTCATGATTTCTAGATAAGATGATATAGCAGAATTATTAATTACTTGGAGATACGATAGTAAAACTCATTCACTTAGGCACATGCACATGTACTGTAGCTGCCACCAGAGTCTCTAACTTCCTAGGGGAGCAAGAGTGTCCCTTTGCCTTGGTAACAATTTCAGGCGCAGTGGAAAGAGCCCTCGTTCCGGGTTGCTGTCGCCACGTTCTCTATATTCACTGCACGAACGTACTTTTTCACTTAAGAAAATTCATGAACAGGAGTGTTTGTAATTTAAACGGACAATGTAGACAATAAAAATCTCAAAGAGACAACAGTTCGCCCCCCCCCCCCCAAAAAAAAAAAAAAAAGAAAAACTCTACTCTAAATCTTACAAATAAAAGACACCGTTTCCGAACACGGCGCGTCGTTCCACTGAGTATGGTGGGTTTCCCTTGGCTGACTGTACACCATCATACAGTTTTCGTTCGTTCCGCCATTTGGTTCGTCAGTTCTCCAATTTGTGAACCCAACGGAGGTGCCCGGATGTTGCCACACCCACTGGCCGTCCGTCTGTTGATCGTTACCGCTTGTCCAGAAGTTCCCTGTAACAGGGATAATAGGGGAATAATAATAATATTAATAATAATATAATGATATAATGATATACATATTATGTCATACATTTTATCCACTGGCCATGGCCGTCGTGATCAACATAATTCATTCCTGATCCACTAGTAAAATGCGTACAAACAATTCTGACAGTGTTTTCTTTTATGATATATACATGTAGGCCTATTAGTTGGCATTTTCGTATGTTTTTACAAAAAAGTATGCGAAACCCGTTGTTTACACAAGGACTGTTTATTATCATTATCATTATTTATTTTATTTTATTTATTTATTCATTT